CCTTGACCACCCAATATAAAGCAGCACCCAGTTATTTTGACAGAATTGTGGTTGAGCCCTACTTCTTCAGAGCATGAGCCACAGTCTAACACTTTTTCTGTATGTGTTTTTGTGTTAGTTCCCACCCACCACCTCCCATCAACCACTAACTCCTTCCCTAGATTGTGGCGCCCAACCCACAGATAATTTCTGAGAATCTCACTAACATCTGCGATCCACCTTTGCACCTGACCTTTGCAGGGGTCTCTGGGACTTTGCTTGGAGAGTTTGGTGAGATGAGAAAAACACTCTGGGAGGGAAGAGATCTCGTTTGCCCCTTTCCTAATTGGCACCCTTGTCAGGACAGAAATGGCCAAACCCCAAGGCTGGAAGGCCCACATGAAGGCAAGGGGAATGTGTTTATGAGAATCCCACCTTCTGACTGCCCAGCAGTGCCTGCTACCAACCAGAGGCCCAACTATATAAGTATATAATATGGGGTAGGACAATTCCCAGAGGTCCCTAAAGGGGGTGACACAATTACTTTGAGGGTCCTGTCTATATGCCACACACAAAGGCCTGAGCCCCGAGAGGGAGGCTTCCTGGGTTGCTGAGAGGCTCACCTAATGCTGGTGCTGTCATCTAAACCTTGAAAGTCAGAGAGAGAGGTAATTCTATGGCAAAATCTGTTTCCAGAAGGAAAGTGGCACCAACAGTTTTGAATAAATTGGAAGTGTAAGGGTGTGTGTGTAGAACTAAGGCGTGTATTCTCTCTCCCCTCCCTTCTCTGCAAACAGACAGTGCCCACCTTCCATTCTTGTGGTTCACTGGTGAAACCAGAGAGCCTGGGCAATTCTGACCAGGCTCCTAGGTACCTATTTGGTGTTTGAGAAAAATGTTGGAAAGGGATGCAAGAAGTTAGAAAGCTGTGGCTGAGCCAGGGACTGTTTAAGCAGACGTGAAGGCCTCTGAAAAGGTCCAGCAGGTGTACCGGGTAGGCACGACACCCACAAAGCAGGGGGAGGAAGCAGCAGCCATCCTCCAAGGCATAAGAAAGGAGTCCTGGCTTGACAGAAGAGGCACCCCCGCTGATTTTCTCTAAGTCCCAGACCCCCTCTGGAAACTGCAAACAAACTGCTACTTTTAAAGCTCCATCTATGCCATTTCTCCAGTCCCATCCTCCACGCAAAGCTAAGGACACCTCAACACCCACTTCCTCCCTGGCCAGGTCTGTCCCTTCTGGTTCCAGTTCTCCATCTCCTTTAACTGAGTCTCTGGACAGGCCTCAACACCCTGTTCTCCCAGGAAAGGCTTCCTGGTGCCTGCGTCTCTCCCTCTGGGTAGGGGAGTTGCAGAAAGGCTGTGTCCCTGGCAGGTTGTCCCCTACATTGAACAAGCCAGTGGGGACGAGGTAGGAATGTCCCTTACTTTTCTGACCCGGTGACCTGGGCTCACCATTCTAAGACAGATCTCAGCATGAATACTCTCTCTTTTAATTCTCTTCCACAGAAACTTGTTTTCTGGGCAACTTATTCTCCTCAGGAAAGGCTTCAAAAGCCCTCCCTTCTGCACTGTTACTCAAGACAAGAGATTTGAGAGACATAACAACCAACTGCCATGGGTAGATGGCATTCGGATCAAGATTTGAACAAACCAATAGGATCCCCTTGAGGAAAGAGGGGACCTGAGGACAGAATGGGTGATAGTAAGGAATTATTCTTGAGTTTGCCAGTGTGATAATGGCACAGTGGTAATATAAAAAGAAAGTCCTCATCGGGGATTCAGGCTGAAGAAGGATTTATGAGTTTAACAAGTCTGAAATCTCCTTAAAATACTCTAGGAAAAGTAGTGTGGAGATGAATGAGAGAGGACTGCTTCTTTCGGAGCAGGAACCCACTCTTTCATTCTCCAGGTTCATAGACAAGTTTTGAACATTCCCCATTCACACAAAGTTAGAAACAAAAACTCTCCTTTTTTTAAATCTCCATAATCTTCTCTTTAATCTCCACCTAGCAGCTCTGCGCTCCTGACTCCAATCTGGAAGCAGTCCCCTCCCTCTAAATTCCACTGGGCACTTTCTCAGCAAGACGATAGCTTGGGGGATGAGAGTATTGGTGGGGAGATCTTCCCTCAGAAGGTTTCTGCTCCGGGCCACTCCTCTTATCCTTTCTCAATCAGAATTTGTCTCTCTCCTGTCTTCTGGAATGTTGGCTACCTCTCTTTCATTGCTTACTCCTCATGACCTTTCCCACTTCCCAGTTGGTTGGGTCCCCATCCATCTCAGACAGTCTTTTATTCAGGGCTTGCTGTGTTCTTTATCTGTCACCCCCTGCCAGAACACAGTCAGTGTTCAACTGATCTGGACCCTTCTGCTCCCAAGATATGCCCACTGTTGGGTCTCCTCCCCACGGCAGAGAATCTTCTCCACAAGTCAAGAGTTTCACAGAGGAAAAAGGCCATTCTGTTCCACAGACAGGCGACTGGCTGTGCGATGGAGTGAGGTAGGAAGCCACCGTCTTCATAATACCCACGGAAGAAGGGTAGGGTTGGGGAGGGGACTCCTGGAGGTGACTCTGGCTTTTCCTGTCATTGTTGCTCTGTCCCATTCCTTCATGGCCAGTCCTGCATCTGCAGAATCACTGGTTACCACACCATCTCTGCCCTTCCCAAGGCAAAGCCAGGCCATCATGTGCCATGTGCATCTGCCTCAGAGCAGGGACAGGCTGCTGCCTTCTCCAGGCACCACTGGTTTTCCACCTTCCTTGGGAGTAGTTATCACCTAATCACCCTCCCCCCTTCCCAACAGCCCAGGTGGCGTTTGCAGAGCCAGAAGTCAAGCTTTCATTCATAGCCTAGTAAATGGAAAATCCTCTGCAATGTCAGAGGGGTCTGCCCACAGAGCAGTGCAGCTCCCCTTCAGGCCTTCCCTCTAGATACCAGTGAAACAGCCCACTCCTACCACCCCATCCTGTCACCATCAGTACCACCATTAAAATGCCAGCTGTGGGCCTGTGGGACCAGTCTTCTGGCTGAAAGTCCCAAAGGTCTGCTTGGGTGCCCTTGGCATCAGGCTCTAATGCCAAAGGGTATCTGGGGTTTGGGCTGGCAAGGTGACAGTTTTCTCTGCTTTCCCTGAAAGATTTGGGGGCATTTCTCAGTTCACTTTGACTTGTCATTGCAAGTTCTTAGTCCAAAAAAGGGTCTGTTCATAGAAGATCTAAATAACAAGTTGTTACCAAAGACTGGACATGGACGGAGAGGAACATACCACCACTGGGAGTAAAAATCCAAATGGGTCTGACCCTAGGCCTGGGGCTGACTAGCCGAGTGACTTCAGTCTTGTACAGTCCTGTCCCATAAAATGCTATAAAACGACGGTATCAGGACCTCCCTGGTGGCGCAAGGGGTTAAGACGCAACCTATGAAGCTATCCACAGCCACTGAAGCACGAGTTCGATCCCCGGCCAGGGAGCTACCCACATGGCGCAGCAGACCTCTCCTGACTCACCCACTGCTCCCCTCAGCAGTGTGTTTCAGTCGATCCACTTGTTCTGTCCCCCACTCTGTCTCTGGTGAATCCTCTCACCCCCCACACCTCTGGCCTGTACCCTAGTTCTTGTATGCATAAATAAATAAATCTTTAAAAAAAAACAAATAAAAATAAAATAAAATGACGGTGTCAAGTGGCTCACCTCTGTGGGCTCTCCCAGCAGAGTGTGGCTGATGCCGCAATTTTAAAACAACTTCTTCTCCCCTTTTCCCAGTCCCCCTAATTCAAATCATTAACATCTTACTCCTTCATTACATTTTATTTTGATCTTCACAAGAAAGTTAGCCTGAGTTTTTCAATTGGGAGTTTCCATTTCTTAGGAAATCTGATTGTATGAAGGCCAAGTTCTGTTGACAAGGCCAAAGGGACTTTGACCATTTGCAGTGTCTTAAGCCAAACAAATACATTACACCTTATGACAGGGCAGGCAAGTCCCTGCAGAGGTCACGGATGAATCATCTATACCAGTTCTCCCAGGCAGGACATGGGAAAGAGGGCTGTACCTTTCACTGATTCGAAGATGCACATTTTTCCATCTCTGAAATCAAGGTGCATCTCCCAATAGATGGTGTCCTATCATTACTAGTAGTGCAAAGTGAAGGTAGGGGTTCTAGGAAATGATCACACTGCTTCTGCCAGCCAGGGGACCACTGACATTAGAGTCTCTTCTCAAGATTCTTTTGGATAACCCTGATCATGCCAGTGCAGAAAGCAAACTTGCATGAGTATGGCTCACCTGGATGCCTACTTTCAGGGGGAGGAGTTTTCATCCTTCCACCTAGCATCAAGGTAGAGACATGCACATTCCTTGTTCTCCCTTTCTGCCTGGTGGCTTTATTTCTCATTCACTCTCTTCATGAGGCTGTCCCAGCTTTGTGTGTGGGGTCACCTATTGGATTTCCCATCTTGGTTCTTTCTTATTTTTGATAGATAAGACAAAGATGCATCTTTTAATCGTGATCTCTTCGGCCAAACTGTTTGGTGAAAATAGCTCATTACAAATATTATATGTAATATTTGAAATGATAATAGAATGGGAGATAGGGTTTTGAAGAAATGGTTTCATGGGATCAAAATCTCATGTCTCATTCTAAACTTCACACTTCCTGTCTGTGCAGCTCACTGGGTATGTGACCCCCAGCACCTTAGGCTGCTAACTAGCCTGATTAGTCAGCACCATGACTCCCCTTAACTCTAGGCCTAAAGACAGGCTCTTTAATATGGCAAAGCCCTGCTGGTCCTGGTCTTCTCCCACTGTGTCTACATCACACTCTTATTTTCTCCCCTCCTGCTTTCTTCTTACTGCACATTTTCAGCCTCTCATGCCCCCTCCCACCAGAGAGCCCTGGATAACAGCCCCATCAGGAACACTCCTCTCCCTGGTTTGCTTAGCTGATCTCAGCTCCAGTATCACTGCCTCAGGAACACCTTCCCTGACAAGATCAAAACCCCATTGCAGGCTCTTGTGGTGTTGCTACTTCTTTCATCACGTATGCCGCAGCTATGATTCCACATTTGCAGAAAGTTCTTAATTAACACTAGACTCCGTCACTGCACTTTGCACCTCATGAAGGCAGGAAATGTGCCCATTTTCACTCAATATTGTATCCCCAGTGCCAAGCAGAGTGGCTGGCAGTGGGTAGGTGCCGTTCATAAATGGATGGATGGCTGAATCTGGATATAAGCTGCCCCACAGCAGATTGTAAATTCTTGGAGCCTGGAACAGTTAAGGAGAGCAGAAAGAGCAGCAGACTTATCACAGAAGGCTCCCTCCACTGCATTATTGCCACCTCTGGCAAATTGCATCCACTCTGCTTCCTCATCTCCAGATGGGGAATGACATTTACCCTGCCCATCTGACATGGGGGTTTTGTAAGATTGTGAGGCCCTTTGAAATTACACAACCTGTTCCTCCACCCCAAGCTTCTAGAACAGCGATGGGTCCAATCTTAACACCCACCCTCTTCAAAAACTCTCATGAAGTTTCTTATTCCCTAGGTACATAAGAAAAGAAAATTTCATTGAGGTTGAAGCCCTGAGTCAGAACTAGGGAGGTGGAGAAGGGTTGCCCTTTATTACTGCTCTGCAGGCCAATCTTTGGACAGTGACAGGACTGGACAGGACCAATGAACTGTGCCTTCTAAGGCACGCTTCTTGGAATGATCTGACAGTATGAGGTATCCCATCTGAACTGTACTTTAAGGTGACTAATGGCAGCAAAGCCTTACTCTGAGATGTGGCATCCTAGAGTCATCAATCTGGGTTTCTGTTTTTTCTCCATCAAATAGCTATGAATGACCTGAGTAAGTCACTTTCTTTCTCTGATTCTGTTTCTCCATCAGATACATGTAAATAATAGTAACAACAATAATCAGACCACCCACCTTCCTGTCTCACAGAGTTCTTCTGAAGATCAAATGAAGGCATAGACAAAAGTACTTGGTAAGTGAAAAATCAATGCAAATGAAAGGTACTATTTTCTTAGCTTTCTAAATTCCTTCTTCTGCAGCAGGAAAGCCCCAAGCTGATTTACTGTAACCCCTAGTTAACACAAATATTACCCAAGAACTGAAATCCAAAAGGCTTGTAGGCAGGAAGTGAGATGTGAACAAATCCATTATTGCAAATCAATTATCAAGCAGCTCTCCAGCGCCAGCCACCCTCCCTCTAGAGAAGGGTATGGGGACGGGCAGGTATTCACATTTGCTTTAATAGCTTGGCTGCCCCACTAGTGCCCTCCCAGGTTGTTGAAGGAAGGCGCAGAGTGAATAACTAGCTAACACATCGTGATCCTAGATTCCATGAAGAGGGTGAAAAGGCTTTGCTACCGAAACACGTCTCTGCAGGATAATTCCGGTTGATCTCCATTATGGCAACTGGGAATGCGCTTCTGCAAACCATCTAGGATGCATTACTGACTGGCTTCTGGTGCTCAGGACTTCAAGCTGGCCAAGATTTCCTTGCTGCTCAATCTGTTGAGCAGCTCCACAAGGGACTCACTGGCATCCCGGTGGAACACGGAATCCAGGCCATCTGTGCTCCCACTCTCCAGCTGGAAGCTGCCCACCAGTTCCTGGATCCATTGTAGGTCTGCTGAGAGCTCCTGCCTCAGAGCCTCAAACTGTGTCTGCAGCTGGTCCAACTTCCTTTCTGTGCTTCTAAGGCTGGACCCTGTGGCTTGGATGTCTTCTCGCAGGAGCTTCTTCAAGGACTCAACTTTGCGGAACTCATACCTGAGCTGGGATAGATCATGCCGGGCCCTCTCGCTCTCCTCTCGGTACCAAGCCTCCTTCTCATTGTAGATGGAGACTAGGGCCTCCACATCGTCCTGGATGGTGTCATGGGTGCCCGCCAGGGCACGACATCCCTGGTCCACCTGAGCCACGTCCTCTACTACACGTGCAAAACGCTCAAAGTTGACGTAGGTGTTGTTAGGGGGCATGCTTGAGTGGCATTTCAGAGTGTACTCTCTCAGGTGCTTGGTCTTCAGCTGGGTGGGCTCTGTCTTCCGCTGCTCTGGGGCTCTGACTTCTTTGGACTGGTGGATATTTGGACAGAAGAGCCAGAGTTAATTGGATGCCTGCTCCAAGGGCAGTCCAAGGTGCAGGCGGAAGGCACACGCGCAACCTCTGGCATTCACCACATGCGGGAGGAGAGGACCAGGGCTGGGGGGGATGAGCATCCCCACACACTATGAGGAAGGTCAAGGAACATGGTGGCACTTCAAGTAAGCTGCCTGCTTACTTCAGGGCAGGGTGGCCATTGGTCATTAGAGAGGGTTCCACACGCGTAGCATTTAAGGGGAACTGGCACAGACAAGCAGGCTACAGCCAGGACTCTGCAGGCATCCACTCGAGGGCTGGAGCACACAAGGCCATGGCTGACAGAGGGAGGTTGAGAGCCCTCCCTTCTCAGGACTAGTTGGCTCTGAAGGCGTTGGCAACACTGCATGCTGAGCAGGGAGGCATCATGACAGACTCACTAGCTCTCTGCTCTGGGCCCACCCTGAACCTGGAGGGCTCGTGGTCTTCCCTACCTTTCAACTAGCAGAAGAATTTGATCTTTTCCTGAACACACCAACCCTCCCCACTGTCCACCTTCCACAGGTCTCTACCCCCTGATCATCCTCGCCAGCTTTCTCACATCATGAGTCCGGTGAATGGGGAGTCAGGTGACATCTCTGGGAGTGCACATTTCAACAGCCAGTAGAACTAGTGCCACTATCCCCACTCCTGATTCCTATCCTGTCAAGTGCTTCTCACAGCATCTTACTGTGATTGGAGGACATCACCCTCTCAAAAACAGTAGCTGGAAGCCCCCATACAAAGCAGGTTAAGCAGGGATTCACCTTGGTGTCCCCACTCTTTCCCATCAGGCCTCTGTCTTGGAGCCCCATTCTCTCAGGCTTCAATGAGCCTGTGGAAGCCAGGTGGCTGGTCTAAGTGAGACCTTTTACTCAGAGCTCCAAAAGTCATAGGAAGGAGGTAAGATAGTATTGTTGAAGTTCTTAATGGTTGCTGATCTCTCTCCAACGTAGGGAGTCCTGATTTCTCCTTTGAGGACAACGGTGACACATCCTCCAACTTACACTTTCTAAGAGAGCCCCAAAGATAAAGGGTTTCAACTGAGGCTTGTGGGGGTTGTTTCATAAGTCATCTGAACCTGTGAAATACAAACTTAAACCTATAAAACTATTTGTAGAAGGCTTTCTGCCTGCCTCCTCCCCATTAGCTTTCATCTGCGCCTGAGGGCGGCAGTGCTCAGATGCTCCTGCATTTCACTGCCCCAGCCAGCCTAGGTGACAGAGCAGGGACCTGCCTACTCCCTGGAATTCATCAGTGTGCCCTTACCGTGATCCAGGGGTGTCTGAGAGCCTCTTGGATTGTGAGCCGTTTCCTATAATGAGGATCAGAAAACAGTGATGATCCATAAGGACAGAAGCAGCGCAACATCTCCACTCATACTCATTTAGACCTGTGTTTTGGCATTCTTTGACCACTGCCACCAAATCAGGATAATGGAGAATACAGTGACAGATGGGGAACTGGCTGTACTCCAGAGAAAGTGGTCCTAGCAGACCCCTATTAGGGAAACCTCATCTTTGGTCCCAAAATTGAAGGGCCTAACACCACATATAGCAGAGTTATAAATGCTCTACTGAACTTCCAGGTCTCCTCTCTACACCTTTGGCTGTTTTTTTTTTTTTTTATTTGCCTCCCAGATCTCTTCTCTGCCCTTCACTGCCCTTAGAAGAGGAAATTTGGCCCCTTCACTTTAGAAGACCTCACTCTAGACCTCTTGGAAGTTTGTGGACCAAGAAGATATGACCAAGAGTCCTTGGACCTTTACCCTGCCCTATCTAGGCTATGCTCTGAACACCTTGCTCCCTACAATTCCCTGAGCATTTCTCCCTTTGACCCCACAGCTCACTCTGGGCACTGAAAAGGGGGTAGGATTAGTGTGTCTAATCCTCTCATTGTATGGATCCCTCAGAGCCTGCCTACCCCCACTCCCACCTGAAAAGGCTTGAAAACTGCCACTTTCCTTGTTAATTCCTAGTTCCAAGTGGACAAGCCACACAAAAATAATGAGCCCTAGAGAAACCCAGGCTGACTTCAAAACACACACACACACACTTATTCGCATTTCAGCAGGAAAACTTGAGAAAACTATCACAACCAGTCCACAATTCTCAGGAGCTGCTCAGATTAGACCACAATGGTGCTGATGACAGCCATGGCAGGGCAGGGACAGACTGACATCTATGGGAGAGGCGGTAAGAGAATATGAGTACCTGGGAAGCCTTTATCTGTTCTCTTACCGGGTCTCTTTAACTAGAAGCTTCCGAATGAAGTCCTTGGCCAGTTCACTGGTCTGACTGAAGAATTCCTCATCGAAGTCGTAACTCACTGCTGTGATATTTGCCAGTGTTTCCTGCTTTGTGTCTCCCAGGAAAGGGGATGCTCCACTTAAGCTGAGCACACAAGAAGGAACATGTGACTAGGAAAGTAAATGGAAGTGGGGTAATGGACTTGGGGATCCCTGACTTCTACTATGTGTGGGTATTGAAGGCTCCCAGCAACAGTCCACCCACTCTGGGCAGCCAATCAGCAGGCTTTTCAACTGAGTCCAGTTCAATACACTTTATGGAGCTACTCCAAAGGATCTGTCAGAGAAACTATGCCTTCAAAAACTCAAAAGAGGAGGGAACAGAAACAGAGACATGGCTTATATCATCATGCCCAGTAGGACAAAGCAAAATACAACAGAAGACCGGGCAAAGGACTGGGGGAGCACAAGAGAGGGGGGAAGTCCTCTGAAAGCTTCCTGGAAGAGCTGACATTTGTACCAGTTGTGTCTTGAAAAATGAAGAGGCTGCCAGCAATCAGAGAAGGAGCTGGAAGGTCTTCTAAGCTAAGAATGTAGCTTGAGCAAAGTCTGAGAGGTATGGAAATAGATGGCCCATTGTGACCAGAAGGTTCTGAGAGGTTCCCCTGAAAGATTTGTCAAGGATGTGTCATTCAAATAGTGTCTCCTGAATTTACTGTTTCGTGACTCATATTCCAGTTGCATATGGGATACCTCTGACCCAGGAGATGCCATTGTCCCAGAAGTCACTGTGCCCAACCCTTATCCCTGCATTCCCTGCCTCAATTAATGATGTTATTTCACAAATGTACTCAAGCTCGAAACACAGGGGTATCTCTTACTTCCTTCCATTACCTAGAAACATCAAACTGGCCCAAATGTCTTGCTGGTTCCATTTACCAAATATTTCTTAAAGGCCACTCCCATTCCCTGTCCATAGCAGAACGAAGATGTACTGGAAAAAATTCTGATATTTCAATTCGGGGTTTGAATCTCAGTTCTCTAACACGAAGTCTGGTAAGATACTCAACTTCTCTGAGCTACAGTTTCCTTATTTGTACAACAAAGAAAATAAATGCCTTCACCTCACATGATTATTGTGAAAACTAAATAAATATAAAATGTTTCAGGTAAGTCTGGCCCATACAAAGGGCTCTGGAATTGAAGGCCATTATTATTGTCATTACTGAGCACAAAAAGCCTTCCATGGTCCCCATTTTCTATAGGATCACATCTAAACTCCTGAGCAAGGCATCAAAAGTTGAACCTGGGGTACTAGTGGGCTCAGTGGGCAGCCACAGTTGAAGTTCCAAGCTGAAGCTCGGGAGTGGGGGCACCACCTAGTACAGAGCTTCCAGTCCAAGCCCCACTGGAAGAGGCAGGGAACTGTTACAGGGGTGGTGAGAGAATGACGCCCACAGCTGGACGGCACTGGTGCGCCCTGTGCTTACCCAGGCGCCATGAAACAGCACTTTCCTTGTGAGTGGTGAGCAAAATGGTTAGAAAGCTCTAATGGAATGAACACCTACTAATCAGCCAAAAATACACCAGAGCAGCGCTAGGAAATCTGCATGTCGGCTGATTTAACCCCCACAGCACACCCATGGCAGGAAGTTTGTGATTCCCATTTTTCTGATGAGAAAAGCAGGCCCAGAGGTTAAGCATCTGCCCAAGGCCACAGAGATGGAAAGTGACAGATCCACGACATATGGAGCTATGCAGGAAATCTCTGCTTCAGTACTTCGGGGACAGAAAGGAAAGAAAGGCTCTGGGGAACAAGGAGAGAGAATGTGAGCGCTAGAGAGAGGAAGGGGACAGGGCAGGGAAAGAGGCAGGATGCAGGAGCACACAGCAGCTGCAGAGCTGCCCCAAGGCCTCGCAGTGATAGCTGACATTCTCACAGGAAACCTCTGTCTGAGTGGAGCTAAGAGGTCGATGCCTGACCATGGCAGGGTATCAGATGCAAGCTGAGCCAGATGGAGGGCCGCAGGCTGCTCTCCTGGGTTGCTGCCCAACCTCAACCCCAGGTGATGAGATGTATGAGATGGAGCTAAGAGAAATTAGTTTCAAGTTTATTGTGTGGATCTAACACATCTGGCTTTTTGTGGATGCTCCAGAAATGTCTATCTGCCTGCTCCTTTCCCATTTTTCCCAGCTCCTCAGATTTAAACAGGGTCAGGGCCCTAGGCATACTCACAGGATGTAGGTGATGACACCTATGCTCCTGCAAAATAGAGAACAGTCAGGTCAAGACTCTAATCCCCAACCAGCAAGGGACTCCCCACACGGTTCTCAGGGGTAGTGATCACTTCCCCCTCACCCGCCCCACAGGACCCTGGGATGCACCCTCCACCCCAGCCCTCTCTTTAGCAGCAGCAGGGATACATATGGAGGCATCAATCTCTGGACACTTGAGTATGAGGACCCAGGTTTGAGATCAGACTCCTACACTTGTAGACTGAGATTAGGGCAAGTTCCTATCACCTGTGAGTCTCTTTCTCCTCATAAAATGAAGAAAGTGATAACTACCTTCCAGGACTGCTGGCAAGATTTCAGAAAACCAGCAATTAAGATGCTTAGTCAATTCTAAAGCATGTTCAAATGAAACAAGTCCTGTCTGTGCAGAATCACTCGCTGAGGTAGCCCCAGGTCCAACACAGTGACTAGAACATAAGAGGCTCTTAGTGATCACTTGGCCGGCTGACTGAGTTATTGATACCAGTATCTTTATCGTGGCCTTGGCAGGCCTCAGGGGTGAGCTGCACCTCGAGCCTTACTTTTCCCTGTGTTCTCTGCCTCACTCACCATTCTAACTAGCCTCAGATCCAGGCCCAGCTACCCTCAGCTGCTCAGGCCACAGGTCTAGCACATCTGGATCAGCCAGAGGCTCTGACAGGTGAATGTCGAGAAAGGGGTTCTCATGGTCAAGGGAGATGTCAGGTGGAGCCAGGGTAAGAGGCCTCCTGCCTTAGAAGGGTCCCTAGGCAACCTGGTTGCCTATACCACTTACCACATGTCAGCCTCCAGTCCCAGGGGCTCATAATTCACGATTTCCGGAGCTGAAAGAAGCCGTTTTGAAGAGTCAGCAGGAATATGAAAATGAGAAGAGATGGTTGTAGGGAACTGATATCAAATGTCCCATCCTGAATCCTCACTAAGGAAAATGAGAGCAGCAGATGGAGGTAAACTAGGTCTAAGGCTTTTGAGGAAGAAAGTTGCCTATTATCCTGTGGAAACTTTACAGAGATTTTGGTAGTAAGAAGGAAACCACAAAGAAAAAGAAGAGGAGGATGGGAAAGGAAGATGAAGCAAGAGGAGATGGGGCAAGGAGACAAGGCCTGCTTTGGAACTCTCTGGTGGAAATCAGTGAGGTTAGTGCCTATATGCAAGATGATGTGATGGACATGAAAAGATAGTACAGTCTGGTCTGAAAGTTGACACCTTCTACCCGAGAGGTAGAACATTCTTGGGGGCGACTAAAATGAGGAGGTTTGGTACCGGAAGGGTACCCAGGGGAAGGTATGATGACCAGGAGAGGGTACAGGGTCTAGGTGAGAAGAGAAGAGGACTGACTGTTGCCCAGATATCGAGCAGATGAGCACTGGAAGGTGAGTGGTGAATTCATACTCATTGCGAGTAAGGGGTGCCTTGAGTGGGAAAAGGAGCTAAGATTAGTGTAAACAATTTTTGAACTTCAGCTCTACCATCTACTGGTTGTTTTCCCTTGAACAAGGTACTTGATAGAGAAAATAATTAAATGTGCTCGTGAGGTCATTTGAGAGTTAACTAAGACAATGTGGAGCACTAGGCACAGTACCTGGCACATAGCAAGGTTCCCCCGCCCTGGGTCCATGGGTCCATGGTACCATTCCATAGTGGCTACAGAGCTGGTATATATGGCCTGAAAACTCACCAAGCATAGTGGTCTGATACATTCTTTCTTTCATTTCTATTAGATTGTGGTTAGAGGTTTTAGTCCCAGGTTTTGAAGAAAACATGACTTCCCTCCCTCTCTGATATCCAACCCCCAAAGCAAAGAGATGATAGTTCTTAACTCTCATTCCTTTCCTTTCTGCAGGCCTCTTTCTTTCTGACCCCCAACCTGTGGCCCAAGCTTCATGAGGAGGTTCTGGGGCCTGGGCCAAGGGTTCAAGAAACAGCGGGAAGAGAGAGCTGCCAGGCCCTGCTGGAGCTGGCCTCCTATGCAGGAATAAAGGTCAGGCACACAGAGGCAAGTGGGTGGATCTGGCATCTGGCAGATGATATCCTTTTTCCTTTCCAGGAAATCAAAAGCTACTCCAGAAAAGGTTGAGTTTATAGGCATGCAAAGGGGTAAGGTAATTTTAAATCTTTATAATCAACTCAGTTTAGAGCAAGACATGGTGCCAATACTGGCAAGGTCAACTCTGCAAAGGCCTGCAACCCCACCTGTCCTCCCCCTGCCCTTTGGGGCACTAAAAGCCAGAGGGCTGTACCCTCACCCAGAGGCCCAGCATGACATTCCTTCCCCAACCAGTAAGTCTCTAGGGAATTTCTAAGGCTTCATCTTTCAGTCCAGAGGCCATGGTGCCAGAACCAGGGTTTGCTCCTGGGATTTCTCTACCTTTTCAGCCCAGATGATTAGCTGAGAGAAAAATAGGCCAAAAACTCACCAACAAATTCTGGTGTCCCAAAAATGTTTTTAAATTCAACTCCATCTTCTATTTCATGAGCCAGACCAAAGTCAATCAGCTTGATGTGTGGAATGGGAATATCCTTGTCTAACAACATAATGTTTTCTGGCTGGAGAACAGAAACAAAAGAGAGGGAAAGGAATTAAAGGATGGTAATTAAAGCCCTGTTTTGTATTTTTGCTTGGGGATTAGGGTGGGGCTTGGTGTTCTTTTTTAGGAGACTGAAACAGCATACATTCTTCCATGTTTTTGTGTCCTCAGTCTTTTCCTATGAACTCAAAATCAGGCATAGGGCTGAGAACAAGGCACAGGTTTTACCAAATCTTTTTCTAACAACAGAGCTAGAGACTTTGGCTCTAACCCCCTTTCTGTCTCCAAATAGCAGAGCCCTGTAATGCAGTGCCTCTGTTTTCCCAACTGCCGAATAGGTCCACTGAGATACTTGCAGCATTTCCTGTAGACAAACTGCGGGCTGTGTGAGCGCGATGGAGTGGGGGTGGTGCAGCTCAGGCTGGGTTTACATTTGGCTTATTGACCTTAGTCTTCCTGACCACTTCTTTCCCCTAACTGCCCAGTTTCCTGTTGACAACCTGCCCCTCCTCTAGACTAACTGTGTACTTCACAATTCTCTATAAGTTTAATTAATTTTGACCTTTAACATGACACAGGAAAAAATGCACCTGACTTCCAGGGAAAATATCAGCTGCCCAGGTTATTTCCAGCCTGACCAACAGCTGCCGGGTCTGACACAACAGCACAGGTGTGTGTTGGTGGGGGGTGGAGGTGGGGGTGCTCTGCCCTGGCCTCACACACCCTGTGCTTCCAGTGAAACCAGAACAAGACCCTGAGCCTACCCTTGTCTCTCTTACACAATTATTCAGAGTACAAAATAGACAAATAAGGTCCCCTAATTCACCCTTTCTCTTCCATTTCCCACCAGGACTGCCCTAAACTGAACTCAAAGTGGAACTTCCTAACAACATGGATCCACCAAAAAACAAAAAAAACGTGTACACAAGGGTCCACAGAATGACAGTCCCAAAGTGAATATGACTGATGAGCAAATAAGCCAAATGTGATCCAGCTGTATAGTGGAATACTATTCAGCCATGAAAAAAGAGAAGGCAAAGGAAAAAGAGAAGGCAAAGCACACTGGCATGCTCTAGCATGGATGAACCTTGAAAACATGCTAAGTGAAACAATTAGTCACAAAAGATTACAAATTATATGATTCCATTTACATGAAACTTCTAGCATAAGCAGTTCCGTAGAAACAAAGACTTGTAGCTGCCTTAGATTGGGGAATTGGAGGGTGACTGCTATAGGTAGAGGGTTTCTTTGGGGGGGTGATAAATGTTTCTACAATTATAAAATTGGTGTTAGTTTACATTGTTAGTTAGTTGTACATTTTTTTTTTTTTAAAGAGGCACGTATTTTATTTATTTATTTATTTGTTTGTTTGTTTGTTTATACATGCACTGGGTACAGTCAGAAACGCGGGAGGGTGAGAGAATTCACCAGAGCCAGAGCGGGGAGCAGAGCAGGCAGAAGGACCGAAGTACACTGCTGAGGGGAGCAGCGGGCGGCAGGAGAGGTCTGCGCGCCATGTGGGACCCTCCTCCGGTGGCCGGGGAGCAGCCGGGGATCGAACCTGCGCGGCAGAGGCCGCGGGCAGCTTCGCAACCCAGCGCTCAACCGCTGCGCCACTGGGGAGGCCCTAGTTGTATATTTTCAATAGATAAATTGTATATGTGACATTTCAATAAAACAAGTAAGTACATACATACATAGATAGAAATAAACAAAAAAAAGTATGTGTGTTTAAGAAAACTGAATGGCCCTGTTTCTCAAAGCACTAAAGAATTTTGCACTTTGCATCTTCGCTGACATCATTTGCTCTACTTGGAAAACCTTTCCCTCAACCTCTGCCTACTGAGTCCCAGCCTGGGCTTGAATATCTAACTCAAACCACACGTCCTTGAAACCTTTCCTCACCAGTCATGAGTTCCCCACTCCCACCCGAAGTCAGGCCTCCCATCTCCAGGTCACTCTGTGCTTACTTGAACCTTTTATTTTGTGACATTGGTCACAGTCTCCCTCATCTAACAGTCCTTGTTGTTTCTGTCATAGCTCCCCTACTAGATCCTCAGCTGGAAGGAGTCCCTTGCTTCTTCACCTGCAGGGCAGAGCGCAGAGGCTGGCAGGCTGAGGGTGACCCCACCTGTTAGCTGAGCAATTCTGAATTTGGACTGAAGATATTCCAGATCTCCTCGAAGTCTCTCTGCCCTCATATCACAGTGGCTGAAAACTTCAACTCAAGTGAGATGACAGGCCCTCTTTTTCAAAAAATAAAAGATACATTTCCTTTGGCATTTTTTTAAGTTTGTTTATTCTTTTTCCCTCTGGAGATTTCTTTCAACTTTATTTTGAAAATGTGTCAAAGTCCTTTTCCAAGGAGTTAGATTCCTAGGTTCTGTAGAAAGGAGAGTGAGAACAGGAGGCGGTCAAGAGACAGGACCCAAGCAGGTGGCCCCACTCCAAGGTTGCAAGCCCAGTCCTAGGGTCACTGCCCATTGGCCCCCAAGGGTCCTCACATCCTGTGCAGTGAGCTGTGCCCATCCTACTGGCCACTATCTCCCAGACAGGCATCTTTTCTTCCCTCCATTCCACTCCTTTCCTCGGCCACACTATTGGGAATTGCTCCTTTCCTCCAAAGAATGGCCCTAAAGCTTCTCTCTGGGGTGAAGGAGCCAGGACTGGGATCTTTCTAACTATCAGTCAGTTCAGGGGCCAGATACCACCACATAGCAAAGGTCGTGGGCACTGCAGTAGACAGAGGTGGACACACCAAAGCAGTGGGGCAGAAGAGTCGAGAACAAGCAATGACAGGGAGGAAGGAAGAACAACTGGAGTGTGCTCAGGAAGCATGCACTCAGAGGGGAAAAGGATCCTTGCTTCACATCCTCTCCCTTCTGTGGCCTGTATTCTGGGCAAATAGCCTCTCCACCAGCTTGTGAGAAATTCAGGGCAAGGTCACGTCCTCTCAATTTCAGACCTCCTTGTCCCCCCCCAAGTTCTTGTCTACCCCAAGAACTTAACATACAGTGACTTCCCCCTTGCTCTGTCCCTACCCCAAACAGTGGCTAATTCTTGTTCTCATTTGCATGAAAATAGTACCTCCTCCAGAAGGACACACACACCACCTCCCTAGTTCCTGTAACATCCTGTTCCCCATCGCAGTGTTTCTCCCACTGTCTCCAAGGGCCTACTTATCTGTCTCCCCCACTGTGTCTTGAGCTTCCTGAGGGTTTGTTTCTGTCATCTACCCAAAGCAGGGTATAGAGCCTGGCATCCATCAGTAACTAAACCCGAGTAAAGGCCATTTAGTAGGCCCCTGCAACGTGCAGGGCCCAGTGCTAGCTAACTAAGCATGTAACACACCCCATACTTCCCTGAACCCTCTCAACTTCTTATCTGGCAGATGTTATTATTCCTTTTTTTTTTTTTCCCCCAGAAGAAACCAATACTGAAAGACTGCACTGTAGACACGGGGATTTCAACCTTTATCTGTCAGACTCCAAAGCTGTGCTCCTAATCATTAGACTGAATGATCCCCCTTCCCTGCTTCTTCAAGGGTACTGGGAATCTATCCCTGGAGAAATGTGAGTGCCGCGTGAGCCTGGCAGCCTAACTTAAACACAGCTATTTTCCTGCCCTGACACCTGCTTCCCATCCCCTAATTTCTTTCTTACAGTCATGCTTTCACCCAGAGGTGTGCTTTCACCCAGTCCTCTTGTGGTGTCCAGAGGCTCAGAAAGGAGCCTTGGGCCCCCCTGAGTTGGGCCACCTCACCTCAGTAAGACAATAGAAGGCCTGGCAAATAAGTCTCAAGGTGGATCTGGATAAGGCGATGTGGCCTGGGGGAAAGGTGGCTATGGGCAGCAAGAATGCTCTGCTGGGTGGTCAGGACCTAGATTCTTGTCCCCACATCACCACTCATGGATCAGATGCAGCTCCAGGCTCAGCTCTGCCCTAACTGGGAGTAAACTGAGGCCATAGGTTCCCTGTCACTGGGCAAAGTCTCTAGCTTCTTTCCCAGATCACAGGGAGATTTCAGTCTACCCAGGGGATTTAAACCCCATATGTGCAGTTCCTCCTGCTTTCATAAAGGCCTCCTTCTTGCTACCCAGCCTCCCTTAATAACCTCATGACACCCAGGAGGCAAGGCAGGGACTGACATTTACCAGTCATTTAGCAAAGCAAGCAATGCACTAGGGCACGATGTGACCCTTGCAGCCACCCGGAATGGTATTTTCCGTTACTATTCCTACTTCCCAGATGGGGAAACAGAGGCTCAGAGAGCTGAGAAATTTGTCTATAATAGTTTGCCTGCTCATATTGGCAGAGTCAGGCTGGGCTTCCCACACATTCCAGCTGCTGCTCTTTCCACATCCCCCAGTTTGGTTATATATCTTTAGTGGTCCCACTGACCTCTCTGCAGTGCAGAGAGGTCAAGAAACTGCTAAGGTCTCTGAGAAAGAAGCAGAGCCCAAACTAGTTGACTCCTGGCCCAGCCTCTTCTCCAGATGCCCACATGGCCTGTCTTTGCCAGTCACTTGCCTGATAGCTGAGGCATCTGTCAACTAAGGCTGCACTAGCTGCTCCATGCTGCCCTTTCAGTCTCACTGCCCATCACTTGCCTGCACCATCCTGCACACCCTCTGGGTGGTATCAGCACACCTGGAACAACATCTCATAACTCTATCCTTTGCTCCAGCTCTTCCTCTTGCCTAGAATGCCTCCTTTTTCTCTCCCTTACTTTTCAATGAAGCGATCCCTCCATGCTGACAATTCTTATGAGCAAGAGGTCCTAAGTTGCACGCTGTCTCTCATATTGTGATTCTATTTTTCTAAATGATAGCCTCCCTGGAAAAGCTCTAATTGGTTTTAACTTCCCTGGCATCCCTGATGGTGTCTTGCATCTGCATAATATTTCCCATGTGAACTGAAAAGAACTGAGACCCAGTGGTTCTTCCCCTTCTGCCTTTGGAGAATCTTCACTACCACTAGGGGCGCTCGAGCACACTCATCCCCAGAGGGTGGCTGTGT